TCTACCTCCCTCAAGACACCAGCCTCTCCTTACACGAGCCACTTGACACAAGTGTGTGTGGATGCCAGCAAAGGCCACTGCTGGCCTCTCGACTGGCCTTTCTTCCCACTCTAGGGTGTGCCAACAGCTTCCTGGGAGCGTCCAGTTGGGGGTACAGCCACCCAGGTGGCAGAGACTGCAGGAGGCGTGGGCAGACCCACAGCACACATCTCCATGGCCACCAAACACTCACGGTCCAAGGAGCACGTCGGGAAAAAAGGGAACATTAACCAACCACACGAATGCCACACGCAGCACCCTGCGTGCGCGCTTCTGGGATGAGCACCAAGGAAACCAGCCAGCAGAGGGGGAGGGAAGGTGCACGCGCAGAGACATTCACCAGGGCTACATGGAGTAACTCCCAGACCCAGAACAACTGGGCACAACTCAGTTGACTATCGTGTCAACTATTAAAATTAAAATGACTGTGAATTTGTGACATAATGTTAAATCAAAGAGGATACAACATTGTTTATATACTATGATCATGACTCTTAAAAAATGTGCCGTAATGCTAATAGAACCGGTTTCTGTCTTTAAAATTTGCTTTATTGTTGTCATGTTGTCCTCACAGCTGAAACTGAAGTAAGTATCTCTGCCTTTTGTCAGCAGGTAGGGAAGTGTGCATATCCCTGTAGGGCAGCGGTTCTCAACCTGTGGATCTCGACCTCTCTATAACAATGAAAACACATCCTGCATATCAGATATTTACATTACAATTCATAACAGCAGCAGAACTACAGTTATGAAGTAGCAACGAAAATAATTTTATGGTTGGGGGTCACCACAACATGAGGAACTGTATTAAAGGGTTGCGGCATTAGGGAAGTTGAGAAAGACTGGTATAGGGGAAACAGCCACAGTGCCGTCGAGAACCACACGCAGGTACAGGTCGGTCTGAGTGTTGGTGGAAAATCTCGTAGCCTTTTTGAACACAAAGGATATGAGGCCATCTCTCATTTCCGGCCCTATCTCCCTTGGGAGCCTGTCGCCAGGACAGTGGTTTTTCTGTCTGCCCCTCAGACTAGAGCCATGGCCTCCAAAACCACTTAGCGGCAGTCTAGAATTACTTCTCAGACTCCCACAGCTTGTGACGCAGTCACTACCCCTTTTGTTTCCATGTCCATCACGTCAGTGTATAGGACAAGGACCAGGAAGCTGGTACCTCTGGCATATTACCCTGTTTGTTGTCTATGTAAGTAACAAGCTGTCTGAACCTAAAAGTGGCTTGTTGTATCTTTACCAAACTAATAAGGCCTTGGTTTGTCTTGTGTGTGCAAGCCTGACAGTATCCCAACATTATGTTTTAATGAAGTACCAATGAACCCAAGAAGTGTGTGTGCACATTCATAAAATCTAGCTTTCAGTGTCATATACATATATGGTGTTTTAAGCTAGATTATTTTTATGAATGAAATAGAAAAATAAGAAAACATGCATACACATATGTACTCAGAAATACGCTAACCGGGCTTCTCTTTAAATAATCAAAATATGGAAAAGAACAAAGAAAACACCCTTCTTTTGGCTTGGCTGAGTGGAAACAAATCAGAGGAGAGAGGGTCAGAAAAATGGAGAAGTGTAGGATAAGCCTGCATTCAGGGAGTCTGGATTCTGGCACCAGGTCTACTGCCAGGCTTTAAACCTTGAGAAATTCTCTTCCCTTCTCTGCCCCCATTTTCTCTTCTAAAAGCTACAGATGGACAGATGGGGTGAACCCCGGCCCCCAGCCATGCTGTCTCCATGGTGCCGCGGCACAGAGACACACTGGAGAGCCTGCAGAGCCAGAGCACAAAGCCCCCGGGTGCCTCCTCCTTCTGCTGAAAGACAAGTTAAAGGGCAGCAATAAGTTAACTGGACAAAGGCAAATCACTTCTAGCGTCCCTCTGAAACTGCTCAGGCACACGCCTGGTCTCCAACACCCCCACTGTTCCCTGTAACTGGGGGAGAAACAGGACGCTCACACAGCAGGAGTGTGTGCAGGCCCCACAGCACACAGCAATGCCACGGCGCCTGCTTCTGGATAGAGTCCCAGTCCTCATTCCTTCAGCAACTCTGTTTCAGGGCCCTGTTCCCTAGCACCTGAGCCAGTGTGGTTCACAGTCTCCATGATAACACTAAAAAGAGAGCAGAGGCTC